GTGGCTTGGGGAATGGCAATCTTCCCTTGTCCTGAGAGTAAGGGTGGCTTATGGTCTTTGGGGTAACAGCACCTTGTGGATGAGTCCCTGAGCCCCTCCTGGCTACTGAGATCCTTCGCCCATTAGTAATCCTCAGTAGGAGAAGTGAATGTAACATTTTTTATTGACATTTTCTAGGAGGATGGGATGAGTCTAATGGGAGTAACTCCTGTTCGTAGCCGCCACCCTACGCAGCTGCCGCCTTAGTGAATCCACATTCTTTCAGGATTATTGTAAAAGTTATAGTAAGGCTGGGGGTGCCTTTATGGGGTACCAGGATATGGCAATAAGGCCCATGACAGAGGAATTGAGTGCAGACCAGTACAGTAACACAATAGAGGTGAGGTCCAGAACTTGTAAAACTGTTGACCTTACAAACAGTTCTCAGCCGAGTCCTAGCTCTAGACACAAAGGACAGTTCTTTCATACTCAGCTTGTGTTAACTGCATGGTCCCAGCATTGTCCTCCACAGTGGCTGGACCAATTTACATTCCCACTAGCAGTGTAAGAGAGTTCCCCTTTCACCCCCCACCAGCACTTATCATTTTTTTTTTTTAATTTTAGTCATTCTGACTGGAGTTCAGTGGTATCTCATTGTTGCTTTGATCTGCATTTCCCTTACAATGAGGGATGGTGAGCATTTTTTCATATGCCTTTTGGCTATTTGTATGTCATCTTTAGAGAGTGGTTTTTTCAACTCATTCTCCCTTCTTTTATAGGGTTGATCATCTTTTTTCAAAACAGCAGCTTGAGTTCCTTGTGTATTCTGGTTATCAGTCCCTTATCTGATGCATAGTTTACAAAAATATTTTTCCATTCTGAGGGATGTTAATTAATTAATTAATTAATATTTTTCCATTCTGAGGACTGTTAATTAATTACTGTTTTTTGTTTTTGTTTTTGTTTGCTATGCAGAAACTTCTTAGTCTGATGTAATCCCACTTGTCTATTTTGGGGATTATGGACTGTGCTCTGGGGGTCTTATTTAAGAAGTCTTTCCCTGCTCCAATGTTTCCAAGAGTTTCCCCAGTGTTTTCCAGGAGCAATTTTATAGTGTGAGGTCTTAGATTTAGATCTTTGATTCACTTTGACTTGATTTTTGTCAAAGGTGAGAGGTAGGGGTTCAGATTCATCTTTCTGCAGGTGGAAATCTAGTTTTTCCAACACCATTTGCTGAAGAGATTTTCCTTTTCCTGCTGGATTGACTGGTACCCCTTGTCAAAAATCAGTTGACTGTATGTTTGGGAATTTATTTCTGGAGATTCTATTCTGTTCCATTGGTCCACATGTCTGTTTCTGTGCCAGTACCATGCTGTTTTGATTACCACAACTTTGTAGTATATTTTTGGGTCAGGGAGTGAGATGCTGCCCATTCCACTCTTCTTGTGCAGAATTTTTTTTGCAAAACAGGGTCTTTTATGATTCCAGACAAATTTTATGATTGTCTTTTCTAGATCTGTGAGGAATGTGTCTGGTACTTTGATTGGCATTGCATTAAATATGTAGATTAATTTGGGTAGAATTGCCATTTTGATTATATTAATTCTTCCAATCCAGGAACATGGGATGTCCTTTTAGATTTTTGTGTCCTTTTCTTTTTTGCAAAACAGGGTCTTTTATGATTCCAGACAAATTTTATGATTGTCTTTTCTAGATCTGTGAGGAATGTGTCTGGTACTTTGATTGGCATTGCATTAAATATGTAGATTAATTTGGGTAGAATTGCCATTTTGATTATATTAATTCTTCCAATCCAGGAACATGGGATGTCCTTTTAGATTTTTGTGTCCTTTTCAATTTCTTTTTTTAGCTTCTCATAGTTTTCCTTGTGGAGGTTTTTAACTTCTTTGGTTAGATTTATTCCTTATACTTTTGGTGGCTATGGTAAATGGAATAGCTTTTTTTCAGTTCTATCTTGGTCTGCCTGTTATTTGTATATAGAAATGCTATTGATTTCTGTATATGGATTTTATATCCTGCAACTTTACTGTATTCATGTACTACTTCCAGTAAATTTTCCATGGAGACCACTGGGCATTCTATGTATACAATCATGTCATCTTTTGATTAACTCATTTAACTGATTTGTGATGACAAGAGCTGGAATGAAAGATGGATTGATAATATAGCGAAAAATTTCCACATTTCATTTCCAGGTAAATGCCAGTGATATTTTAAATTTGATAATTTAACTAAACCATGAAAATATGAGTTATTGTTCTCTTAGACTATTTTAGATACCTGTGTGTAATTGTTTTAATAACATATGTAAAATTGTTGTGCAATTTATAATCTGTATATAAATGTACAAAAAAACCCAGTCTATTTACCTTTATAACTGAAGTGGCCCACAATACTGTAATAACACACTCAAACATAAATCTTTTGACTATTTCTAGATATCTGTAACACCTCAGTATTCCTTATATCATAATTATTATTCACTGGTGATTAGCAAGAGACAGATTAGTCTGGACATTAAAAAATACCTTGGTCAGAACACATTCTAATTTTTTATAAATCTACTCCTGTTTTCCTAAACAATTCTCAAAGTCTAGTTATAGCATTTAAACCAAAGTCTCTGATGTACCTTATTTTCAAAAATAGTTACTCATTTGATGAATAACTCCCAAACCCTCTCATGAGAATTCCTGGCAGTTTAGATAGATAACTATTGTAATTCATAAATGGCATGCAAACTTTTATACAGACATTACATGCTGATAATAATTTTGGAAACTGGTGTTCTCTTGCAATAAACTCACCCAAATCAATTCCATGATAATTTTCCACTTTCATGTGGCTAAGGGGAAAGGGTGAGTATGCACTATTCATTCACTTGTTACAACCCTTCTGGAAGTCATTCATGACTTTCAAAATCTTTGAAGTGTGCTTCTTTGCTTACCCAGATAGAATCTATTTCTATCAATTTATAGAGAAATAGTTAGGATCTATGAACAAATTTGTGTGTGGGGATGGCTTAAAATAGTGACAAATAGGAGCCAGCAAGTGGCATGGTGGTTAAGGCCCTGGACTCCCAGATGGCTGACCATGGTTCAAGTCCTGGGCCTGGTGGCTTGAAAAATAACACTGAGCACATGTTCATGCATGCCCAAAATCCAAGGAGAGGAATAGAGGAGAAGGGATTGCAGTGTAGCCATTCCCCCTGAAGAGTGATTTCTCACTTTCCTTTTCACTGTCTCTCTTTGTCTCTCTCCTCTCTGGCAAGTGCATATACCTTATGGCAAAAACCTTATACAAATAGTGACAAATAGATAAAGGCAAAATAAATAATTTTATCTATCTACCCCTAATAGCAGATTAGGTCAATATACTATTGTTGATCTATATTACTATATAAACATTGAACATTATAATGCAGATCCATATTTATAGACATAAACAGATGTTTATTATATAAAAACAAAGGAAATAAGCAGATTACCAAACTACATGCATACTGTAGTTAGCAACATTGAATGTTTGTGCCAGGCAATTTTCAAACCTTCACTTGAATTATAAAATGTCATCCATGCCAAGAAGTAGACACTTCTGTTATCTCCACTTGATTGGAGTGGGATGGGGATTGAGGCACAGAGTAATTTAAGTCACTAACCAGTAGAAATGAAATTCAAACCCAAGCAGATGGCTCTCTGGTTTCTGGTCCTAACCACTGCATAATAGCCATCTCGTGTTTTTAGACAATATAGTATTTTATGAAATATTATGTCTGTACCCATGCACTTACATGTTTTTACATAAAAACAAGGTTATCTCTAGTTTTTAGAACCATAAGGACCTTTTCATTTGCTTTTCTTTCAGTTTGTCTGAATTTTTAAAAAAAATTGTTCTAAACTAAGCATGTATTGCATGCAATAAAATTTGAAAAAAAAAAAGAAAAATTTTATGAAGGCTTCTAATCTTATGGCACTTTCTAGTATTTCCAAAAAGTTGTTAAGAGATATTATGTACAAGTATACTTAATTTATAAAGGAGAAATAAAAGGGCAGTTGAGGTGCTGATGAAACACAAGTCCAAGTTCATCAGCACAATTCTTTTTTTTTTTTTTTTTGAGAGGTTTTCGCTATAGGGCGCGTGCGCTCGCCAGACAGACAGAGAGAGACATAGAGACAGAAAGCGAGAAATCACCCCCCAGGGGGGATGGTCACGCCGCAATCCCTTCTCCTCCATTCTCCTCTCGGGATCTTGGGCACGCACGCACACGCGCCCGGCGTGAGATTTAAGCCACCGGGTCCGAGACGCGAACCGCGGTCGACTACGTGGGAGTCCAGCGACATAGCCATTACGCTAACTGCTGGTTCCCAGCACAATTCTTTTAATATGTCAGATTATTATCTTGTACTGTTATTTAACATGTGTGTACTTATGCTCTTTCTACAAAATTTTAAGGCTTTTGGCATCCATCAGAAGGTCTGTGATGCATTTGTACAGATTTGGTTTAAGGAATAACTTATTTTTTAATTGCCAGGGGACATGTGCACTTGCCAGAGAGAGAGAGGGAGGGAGAAAGCATCTCCTAATGGAATGTGGTCATGCCATAATCCCTTCTTCTCCATTTTCCCATCCTGTTGGGAAGTTAGGTATGCACACAGATGCACCCAGCATGTCTTACAAGCCTCTATGGTTAGAATTCATGGTGAGTCATGGCCATGGGCTGGACCAACTATTTACTTTTTTATTAATGGAAATGGATTGGGTAAGATCTCCAGGAAAGCATGGATTATTACTAAAGTTTAGATGTCTCCCTGACCCACTTGTTAGAGATGCAACTTTCCTGGATCCTTTGCTGTGGCCTCAAATTTTCTTCTCCAGGAGAGAAGCTAAGGAAGACCTGAATGGGTGCCAAGTGGGTACCGATATACTACTGTTGGCACAGCCAACAATAGGTGGAACAACTCAAGAGTTCATGTGAAAATTCTGGGTGAGGGAACCAGCAGTTAGCGTAATGGCTACGTCGCTGGGCTCCCACGTAGTCAACCGCGGTTTGCGTCCCAGACCCGGTGGCTTAGAACTCACGTCGGGTGCGTGTGCGTGTGTGCCCAAGATCCCGAGAGGAGAATGGAGGAGAAGGGATTGCGGCGTGACCATCCCCCCTGGGGGGTGATTTCTCGCTTTCTGTCTCTATGTCTCTTTCTGTCTGTCTGGCGAGCGCACATGCCCTATAGCGAAAACCTCTCCAAAAAAAAAAAAAAAAAATTCTGGGTGAGAATTTGGATCACATTAAAAAAAAAAAGACAAAAATTTTTTAAGGGACTTTTATCCAGATTCTATTTTTTTGCATATGCTTACATAACTGGTAACAACTGCCATTTTATTGCATCAATATGAATGTGCATTATCTGCCTACTTACTTCTTATAAAATTTTCTTCATTTTCATCCGTGATACTTAATAAAGCACCTCCTTGCATCTGGCATGAAGAATGTGCCTCACTCCAAGAGAGAGATGAAAGCAGGTTGAATTGGTAGCAAATGTGTGAATTGGGGTCCTTCTCCCACACAGCATCACACGCTATCTCTGCAGAGGCTAGAAAAAAAGTCCATTGAGACATTCTCGACGGCTTTACTTTATCTACACAGCATTATGTTTCTAAGATAGATTCAGTGGAATGGTTCCAACTGCAACCTCTAAAACTTCAGGGCCCCATCCATCCTTGCTTAGGCCTTCATGAAGAAATCTGCATTGTTATCCTATTGGCATATTTTGGTTAACTCTTTCAAGATTTATCTAAGGAAATTCAAGAAAGTATCAGTAAAGAAGATTTGATCCCTTCCAGAAAAATAATATAAATATATTTTTGTTTTGTTTTGTTTTATTTTTTTACTACAAGAGGGAGTGTATACTCACTGAGAGAGAGGAGAAAGAAAGAGAGACAGAACAGAGAAAGTCTCATTAGAAATAGTCATGCTGTAATTCCTTCTTTTTCATTTTTCTCTTCTTTTGGACTTTTGGGCACACATGCACATACACCTGGTATGTTTCTCAAGCTACCACGTCCAAGACTTGCACCGTGCAACCAGCCATGTGGGATCCAAGTCCTTATTCCATCATGCCCCCACCTAGGCCAAAATAAGTTTTAGAGAAGGAGATAAAAGTGAAGGTATTTGTGAAAATAATATGTGAGTTCTTTAAAGAGCTGTCATTTAGGGGCCAGCAGGTAGCATGGTGATTAAGTCTCTGGACTCCCACATGGCGGGCTGCAGTTTGAGTCCTGGACCCAGGGACTTGAAACTCATGCTGGATGTGTGGGCATGTGTGCCCAAAAATCTCAGGAGGAGAATGGAGAAGGGATTGCAGTGTGTCCATCCCCTGTCTCTCTGTCTCCCAGATGAGTGCATGTACACTATGGCAAACAAACAAACAAACAAACAAACAAACAAACAAAAAAACGAAAGAAAAAAAGAAGCAGTCATTTAGAACTTTACATTAAAATCTGTAAAATTCAATGCTTATTTGACATAGACATGAATGTTGTTTCAGTAGCTTTTTCTCCTCAAAAACCAAAATGTTAGAAAAAAAAGAACACAATAGAAATATGAATACAAGTTTTCAAATAAACATGGAACACAAGAATACTGATATCTAAAGAAAATTTCTTCATCCAGGAAAAGTAGAATCAAAACCTAGTTGTAAGACATTGGCCAGAGATGGCATGTATGCTTAAAAGTATATTTAATCAAGAATGGATGTGGCTCTGAAATAGTAAGTTTATTGAGACAACAGGTAACTAAGACCAAGTTTGAGTAATTTGGCTACAATTTTAAACCTTAGTTCTCTGTGGACTAAGCAGCACAGTAATGACTAGAAATCCAGCTGAGCCAGGGACTTTCAGAATGTAGACGCTATGAGTCATGGCTATGTGGGAGTGCAACTGCTAGACAGGCAACCTGCTACACTCTACAACAGCCTTCACCAAAGCGAAGACTGTTTCAAGGGGCTCCCCAAGAAAACCTGAGACATAATGCAGAGAGAGTGTCCTCTGGGAAATTCCCAATGTTCATTAGCATATTAAAGGCTCTGAGAAGTTCTGTAGTTAAAGAAACATGGCTCATTTCAATTCAGTGTACTTTAGACTCACTTGGCAATTAATCTTTTTTTGTTTGTTTTCTTTTCCCATAATAGTAAAAGGGTTCCCCTGGGAATTGTGGCAAGTTTGTTTTCATGTCTGGTAGCAACACACATTCTTCAGAACTGAGTTAGTTAACCAGAAATTATTAAATCACATAAAAACCCAAGGTTATCTATAGTTTTCTGGCTGATATATGTATTTCTAAAAGGATCCAAGACTGAAGGAGGACAGAAGACAAAGCAGTCACTGAATATCACTGAAGGAAAGGAAGAGAAAGGAAGGGGGGAAGGGGAGAATTTTCAGTAACCTTTGTGCCCTGGTGGCTGAAATTTCCCCAAAGAGAGGAATCTTTACAGATTGTCTCAGTTAAAATGCTGGCCTTCCCTCAGAGGTACTGAGACTGAGTGTTTTCAGACATTAGTTTAGTCATGTTTTTCCGTGTGACAGCTGAGACCATGAAAGGGGCCTAAGGGTTGGGGGCTAGCAGATGGTATAGCAGTTATGTCTCTAGATTCTCACATGGGCAACTGCAATTTGAGTCCCAGACCTGGTGGCTTGAAAATCACGCCAGGCACATGTGCATGCATGTCCAAGATCCCGGGAGAAGAAAGGAGAAGGGACTGCGGAAGGGATGGGGTGTGGGAGGTGGTTTCTCACTTTCCTTTTCACGGTCTCTCTCTCTCACTAACCCCACCCACCCAAACACATACCCTAAGGCAAAAATCTCTAAAAAAAGAGAAGGGGAACAGGGGAATGTTTATAGTTTTAATGTGCACTAAGAATCATTTAACCAGATTGTACTTTTTTTAAATGCAGATTTCTTGTTCTAAGTCTCAGACATTATGAATCAGTAGGTCTGCAGTGGGTTCAGGAGCATGCATTTAAAACATACTTCTGGTTTTAATGTAGAGGTTCCATGAAGTACACTCTAGGGAAGACTGGCTTGAAGGAAAAAATGTAAAACTCTTCCAAGGAGGGCAGGTCTGAGCAGTCCCCGGGCTACTGGAAAACAGTAGGATACAAGAAGGCCAGATATGGGGAGAGAGGGAGACAATACTGGGAATGGAGCATCTGTCTTCATCTTCTGCCACGGGAAAGATTTGACAATAAATCTTAATTATTATACCCAGGCCAAAGCTATATGCATGAGAAGAAAAGACCCAGAGGATACTTCAAATGATCTCATTCCCATATTTGCCAAGCGTTGGTCTTACCCTTTCAATACAGCCTTTTGTAGTAAGGTGTCTGAATTCTATATACTAATCAGTTAAGGTGAGAAGTTTGTAGGTGATCACACCTATACTGCAAATTACACAGTGCTACTTATGTTAGATTCCTTTGATTTGGGGCTATTTGTGCCAATTCTTTTTTTTTTTTTTTTTTGGAGAGGTTTTTATTTTTTTTTGCGATAGGGTGCTTGTGCTCGCCAGACAGACAGAGAGACAGAAAGCGAGAAATCATCCCCCAGGGGGGATGGCCACGCCGCAATCCCTTCTCCTCCATTCTCCTCTCGGGATCCTGGGCACGCATGCACACGTGCTCGACGTGAGGTTTAAGCCACCAGGTCCGGGATGCAAACCACGGTCGACTACATGGGAGTCCAGCGACATAGCCATTACGCTAACTGCTGGTCCCTTCACTGTAGATTTTTCATAGATGCTGTTTATCAAGTTGAAGCAATTTCTTTTTGTTTTGAGTTTTTTGAGTCTTTTTTTCAGTGAAAGGATATTGAATTTTATCAAGTGTTTTATCCGTATATATTAAGAGGATCATGTGATTTTTATCCTTTATTGATATAGATATTTTACTCATTGATTTTCGGATTATTAAATTATTATTACATTCTTAAAATAAGTTCCACTTTGTCAGGCTGTATAATTTTTTTTTTAACGTTGTTGAATTATGTTTGCTAGCATGTTGTTGAGAATTTTTGCATCTATATTCATATTAGTCTGCAGTTTTCTTTTGATGTCTTTGTCTGATTTTGGTGTCAGGGTACTACTGGCCTCATAGAATGGGTAAGGAAGTGTTTCATCCTCTTATAGTTTCCATTCATGCTTTTAAAAAAATTACCAGAAGTTGTGTGCATTTGTTAGAAAGTGAAATAAAAGCAGAGAGAGAGAGAGAGAGAGAGAGAAAGAGAGAGAAGAGAGAGAAAAAAACCTTCAATGGGGTGTGGTCAAGTCACAATCCCTCCTTCTCCTTTTCTCCATCCTGTCAGTATTTTGGACACACACGCACCGGTACCCAATGTGTTTTTCAAGTAGCTAGAATGGGAATTCAAACCATGGCTGGCCATGTGGGATCTAGCTCCACTAACCAGTAGGCTATGGGGCTGGCCCCTACAATTATTCTTTAACCTACGCAATGTGTAACTAACATATATCTTGTTAAGACTATCAATGACCTCTATGTTGCTAAATTCAGTAGGTGCTTTGTTTCAGACCTTATTTCCTTGCTGATTTATGCTCTTTTCTGGATTTCACATGTCTAGTTAGCCTTCTACTTCTCTGAAGGTTCCTTCTCAGTTTCCTTTGCTGGTTCATTCTTCTCTATTCAAATTAAATGTTGGAGATCTTCAGACACGCCGGGATGCAAACCACGGTCGACTACATGGGAGTCCAGCGACATAGCCATTACGCTAACTGCTGGTCCCTTCACTGTAGATTTTTCATAGATGCTGTTTATCAAGTTGAAGCAATTTCTTTTTGTTTTGAGTTTTTTGAGTCTTTTTTTCAGTGAAAGGATATTGAATTTTATCAAGTGTTTTATCCGTATATATTAAGAGGATCATGTGATTTTTATCCTTTATTGATATAGATATTTTACTCATTGATTTTCGGATTATTAAATTATTATTACATTCTTAAAATAAGTTCCACTTTGTCAGGCTGTATAATTTTTTTTTTAACGTTGTTGAATTATGTTTGCTAGCATGTTGTTGAGAATTTTTGCATCTATATTCATATTAGTCTGCAGTTTTCTTTTGATGTCTTTGTCTGATTTTGGTGTCAGGGTACTACTGGCCTCATAGAATGGGTAAGGAAGTGTTTCATCCTCTTATAGTTTCCATTCATGCTTTTAAAAAAATTACCAGAAGTTGTGTGCATTTGTTAGAAAGTGAAATAAAAGCAGAGAGAGAGAGAGAGAGAGAGAGAAAGAGAGAGAAGAGAGAGAAAAAAACCTTCAATGGGGTGTGGTCAAGTCACAATCCCTCCTTCTCCTTTTCTCCATCCTGTCAGTATTTTGGACACACACGCACCGGTACCCAATGTGTTTTTCAAGTAGCTAGAATGGGAATTCAAACCATGGCTGGCCATGTGGGATCTAGCTCCACTAACCAGTAGGCTATGGGGCTGGCCCCTACAATTATTCTTTAACCTACGCAATGTGTAACTAACATATATCTTGTTAAGACTATCAATGACCTCTATGTTGCTAAATTCAGTAGGTGCTT